GGACTCTTGTAAGCCGTCGGACCTCGACCTGTGCATATAAAGGCAAGACCTGGCGGCGGGTGAACTCAAGAAACAACTGATTGATAGCTAGGTCAAGCGTAATCACTCCCCTGTAATCGAAACTCAAGCAATGCAACTAGAAGCAGGACGTAGGCTTTTACCTCGTTGTGAGGGGCCGAACCTGGGTAAACTCTTGTGTCCTTTGTCCCGCTCAACCCCTTCGAGCTAACCTACGTTGCGATGGCTCCACACCTAAGTCCATTCACAAGGGCATCTGCCATGTTAAATCCACGACAGAATTGGCGGTGGTACCTAGTGCAAGCATCCTCAAAGCAGCAGTGTGTTTCTGCTTAGCAGAGAAGGAGAGTTGTGTGCAACAATTCCCGGTGAGCTTGAAGTAGGAATCATGTGCCTCCACTCCCTTTACCAGTCGCAACAACAAGGGTTTGCGCATATAAAAGCGTCAATGAGACCATGTAGTAGGGAATGTTGGTCCAGGTTGGAAGTAGTCCTTATAGAGCAACCCTACTCCAACGACCCTATCTCGGTTCAAAAACTCTTCTCCCTTTGATCAAGCCCTTGAAGTTCAGAATGTGCTCCACCTTGTTGTCCATTTCCTCCTGGATGCTCACGATCATCGACATCTTCATCCGACTCTGACGAATCGAAGAACTCCTTTTGCATTAACGTATCAACTCTGAGTTTTCGTACTCCTCATCCGATGACTATCTGAATCCATCATTTTCCTACAAAAGAATGAGACAAAACTGCTCAGACAATTTGTCGGACACATAAAGGGCAAGGCGCACACCAGGAATAGCCGGGCTTACTGCGACGGCGTCCGGGGCGGCGACGGGGTTCGGTGCAAAGGGGTGGCCGGGGAGTAGGTTTGTGGCGTGGTGGTGGCGCCGAGGGATCGGGACAACGACAGAGCTAGGGTGGTGACGGAGCTAGGGGAGGGTCCGGGCAGATGAGGGAGAAGAGATAAGAGGCAATGTCTCGTCTGACAAGATTTGGGGAGGAGGGCGAGAATTTGGTGCAATTTGTGAGGGGTCCTATCTGTCGGATCCGACGTAGCGGACGCTCCCAAGCGCATCCGGGTCTCCTCATATCCACCCCAAATTTGAGCCGGATATGAGGGTTGCCGGTCAGCCTGGACGTATAGAGCCAGTTTAAAGAGCCCGATTGGGTCATGTTTTTATGACCGGTCACTGACCGGACATCTGTCCGAACTTATACAAGGGTTTGAGAAGACCGGTTATAGATGCTCTTAGTTTTCTTTTGCGAGTGCCAGATATATTATGGATTGGGATACTCTGCAATAGCATAGCATGCAGTACCGTTATTGTCATCTGGATTCGGCTTCACGGGTTGTGATCCTCTGAAAACATACTGTGCAGTACAGCTACTGTTATGTTGATCCAACTCCACGTGTCATTGGTAATACTGCCCCGCACTGTACATTACTGCAGAAGATCTCTCAGCCCGAAGTAGATACGGCGAGTACCATTCTGCCGACACGGCGTAAATCTCTACTCTTATAAAAAGTACAATTGGTGATGATGGTGTGCCTGCCATCTAGCAATTTCGGCCGTCCGATCGACATCTAACGCATCGAAAGCGATCTTGGCTACTTTAGCAAAAAGACACACGTCAGTCTTCTTCTTCCGGACCGATCCAGATGACCAGATCCATCCACATCCACCTTCCTCCAGCCAGCCAAATCTGGCGCGATGGCTGTTGCCGCCGCCGGCGCCATCTGCCCCCAATGCCTCGCATGCTTCCTCTCCAACGCAGGAGCCACCACCACCACAATCTCCCCTCCACGGCCTCCTTTCCCATCTCGGATGCTGCCAACCACAAGTACGGTGCCAACGTCGTCGGTTCCTCAACGCCTCCCATGCCTCCTCCTCACCGTCTCCTCCAGTCCCCTCCCCCATCTCCTTTGATGCCACCCGCTACAAGTGCGTCGACGGCTGCGCGCTGCTAATCCACGGCGGCGGTGCCATCAAATACTACCGATTCCCCTAGCCGTCGGCCATCCCTGCCACCCCGGCGAGCTCCAACCCCCGCCATCTCGACCTCCGTTGTCGACTGCGAATGTAGTGGCGCCGACAGCGTCCTCGCTGGCGCCATGTCCGAATTTGCACTGTCCCGTCCTAGCTCCTGTGCTCGTCAGCAAGTGAAGCGGCCGGAGATTTGGGCCAACATTGACGACCGAGACAGGGCCATGCCGAGCTGCGAACCAGCAACGAGGAGGCTCCTCCGGCGCTCGCGGCAATGGCGGCATACACGACGCGAGGCGAGCGACGTCGCGGGCGGCCAGCCGTGAGCGGCGTACACGGCGAGTCGGCTCCCCTGGCACTCGAGACAACGGCAGCGTACACAGCGGTTGGTGGCGCTCACTATCACTGCCGACCTGCAGCGTGTCATAGGAAGCTAGCACCACCGCGTTCGCTCGCGTGCACCATCGGCGGCGTCGACGCATGCGTCCAGGAGACCAAAAGTCCCGGCCGCGTGAGCTGCAGGTGGATAGCAGGAGCGAGAGCTGCAGGCTGGTGTTCTGCGGCGTCAAGATGGGAGCATACACGATGGCGCGGACGGTGCCCAGCATGCTCGTGCTGCGCGTGCACTTGCCCATAAATATAGACATTCAGATTTACTCACATTCAGATAGACAATTAGACATTAGCTGCTACGTGTGCACTCGCCCATATTTCAAATTGAGATAGACATTCAGATGTACTGTATCTTGACATTCAGATCTCAATTTGTTCAGATACACATTAGCGTGGCAAGTTCAGATTATCTTGAGCCCGAAAGATTGATATTCAGAAGTCGATTTGTTCAGTTTACCTGAACTATGGCAAGTTGTTTTGGTCGACAGCAGTCACTGTAGTTCTTTGGTTTGTGTTGTGTGCAGTTCGGCTGCAGGAAAGGTCGGGACTTGCGCACACCATAGACATGGTCGTCGGTCATGGACTCAGCGCGCGGTCGGACGAGGGTGGTCGGCGTCGTCATGGACTCAGAGCGCACGGTCGGACGAGGGTGGTCGGTGGTAGAAGCTCCGAGCTGTGCTTGGGGCGACGAATATGGTGGGCGGAGGAGAACTAACTTTTTAGTGCCCTATTATAGAGCAGTTGTTGGATACGACACTTGCGCGTGCCCAAGAAAATCAGTTTTGATACGGAAATCCATTGATGCTCCTGGGAGCGCGCGCTCCTGCACGCGAAAAATATATTTCAAAGTGTGGAAAAATTTCAAACAAAAATTTGGCAGATACATCTCGACCTTATATGTGTGCGCGCCAAATTTTGCAGAAAACCGACTTTTTTTGTACCTTGTGTAAAAAAGACAAAAAGATGTCTTGTGAAAAGATTTTTTAACACCAGACAAAAGGATGTATAATATCGAGCAGTACGCGCCAAGTTTTTTTGGATTTTTTTTGACATTTTAAGATATGTTTAAAACACATTTAAAAAAGCATGAGCGCCCGCTCCCATGTGCCAAAACGCCACTCTCATTTTCATCCCCAATTTTTATCATACCAATAAGTTTGTTCCTGCATGTGTTGAATCATGATTTGGATTCTCCTACAGACTTGATTCTTTTTTATTACCAATAAGTTCGTTACTTTGTTTTATGTGTATAATAATATTCCTGATGCCCAAGATTGTACTTTTCTCCTTCATATTCAAGTTACTCAAAAATAAATATCATGGCCCTGGATTTGGTTGCAGTCGAAGCATAACTGATTCATCTCTGCCTATATCCCAACTTTGGCTGTCAACGCCAATCACCTTGATTCATATATACTAGCCTGAGTTGTGAAATCCTTGTCTCCTTTGGACAAATAGCCTAGAAATTCTCAAAAGAAAAGCCCTTGATCATGTGGAACCTTACTTCAAAAACCATGGATTTGATCTAATATAAGCTTATTCCTTGATTTTCCATCGAGGTTCCTCATGTTGTGCATACATGAAGGATGTCGGGCCGCTCATATGCCTTCTTCAGCGCGCCGTCATCCTCTCCTCCTCTACCCAACATCGATGACATTTCGGTGTTGAGAAGAAAGTATTTCATCGCATATGTGGATGTTGCTTGATTCCTTGGGTTCTAGATCTCCTTGGGGAAAAGTAGGTGAAGGCCTTTGCAAAGATGTAGATTAATCGGGCATGATAACCCTTTGCTTATTCCTCGGTTTATTTTGATCCTAGGCACTAGAAGGATTTCCTTTTCGCCATTACCCTGCTCTGCTAGGGGTTAGAAGCGTTTACTTTTAGGTTGGCACGGTTTGCTCTGCACCATTGAAAATCCTAATAAGTGTATGCATGTAGCCAATTTTCACACGCTTCTGTTTGGCAAATGTAGCAACAACACATCATGTACTCCTATGTCTTGGCATATAAATGCGAGAAAAAACTCAGGCAAACCCTACTGAATTAATGTCAGTGACCCATGTTCATCTAATTGGTTTGCACTCTTCTGTATGGGCATTGTTTAGCCTGGACGAAAGGGTTTATCATTTGGAAACATTATGTTTGACTTTGCTCGTTGTATACCTATCAACAATATAACATCACTTGATCAATGTCTCATACTTTTTTTTACCGTTTTGTAGCAACATAGACTCCTCACTATAAACAATGTTTCACCTGATCTCTGATCTTTGTGCTTCCGTAGCGTAGCACGGGCATCTTGCTAGTAGTGTAGACAAAAACACAGGATCAACATAGACCCGGATGATAAGTAGACGTATACACCGAGAGCTAATGAACTGACATTGACAGGTAACAAACAACTCCTCCTCAATTTGACTCCAACCAGATCGTTCCAGAACCAGATCGTTCCAGAACACAACGAACGCTGGCTTTATTTCCGGCGTGTCAAGAGGCCGGCCAAAACTAATCGCGCGCATCGATCAATCGTATCATGCTTTACAACAATATATATATCGCTCGGGGTGCAGTTCACGCTATGCCGCGGCGCGTGCATAGACTTCACAGAGCGATGCTGGCCCTGACCTCCTGGCCCTTGGCGGCCTGCTTGTCGCCGCAGTTGTCGACGGCGGTGTAGAGGCGGTAGGGGGAGGCGTCGGTGGCGAGCCACTGCTCGACGGTGAAGAGCTGCTGCGCGCAGCCCATGTGGGGCCCCGTGGCCGTGACCTCGACATAGTTGCAGTACCAGCCGTGGTGCGCGCCGGCGCCGTCGGAGGTGACGTTCGCCCAGCACGGCGCGCGCTCCATGCAGGGCCCGCGGCCGCTGAAGATGTCGAGATTGCCGCGCTCGTAGTAGTCGTGGCCGGCGCCCATCATCCCGCCCCACTGCTCCAGGTCGGCGATCCGGACGCCCGTGCCGTCCGAGCCCAGCAGCGTCACGCCGATTGCCGAGTCCGTCCCGCCCTTCCAGATCGACCCCGTCCGCACGTACACCGTGTACACGCACTGTTGCTCCGGATCCGATAAGAGGCCGCCGGCGCCCGCGACCGCGATCGCTCTCTCCGACGACGCGTACGCCTGATTAACCAAGCCACGCACGGACGGATGCGATACATGGCGTGAGAAATGATATGGAGATCCAACAAGTAGAAGGGGTAGAGCTTACCGCGGCAAAAAAGGAGACGAGGAGAAGGCAGAAGAGCTTCATGGCCGGCGACTTTCGATCCGGAAGTGAGCGATTGGGAACGATAAGGCGTGGCGCTATAAAGGGAATCGAGGGTGGACCCACTGGACAGTGACACTTTTGGGGAAGTAGCTGGGAGAGATTTTTTTTTGTGGCAGGAGAATCCAATGTGGCATATTCTCCGAGCTTATATACATTTGTAATTGTAACATATAGAAGTGTCTGAGAAAACATGTACAGGTCTGACAAGATCCGGAACCTGCACGATACACTGCTACGACCACGTGAATCACGTAGAGGCCGAGACAGATTCGGATCCAATCTGGACAGGTAAATCGAGTTTATTTTCTTTTTGAGAAATACGTACAGCGAGTGATGCTCGCTGTATGCGCGTAAGAGGGATGGAGCTGGGCTGGAGTGGTGGCAACTGGCAAGCCAGGCATCGAGAAATTCAGATGTTTTTTTTTCTTGGCCGTACCAAGTCAATATTGTTTTATCTGGAAGACACGTTTGAGGATAAGGTTTTCAATGGCTGATGTGTGGATTATATACGTGTATTACGTGTTTTGGAGTAGTTGGACAGGACGGTGACACTAGGCAGGTATCACCATGTCACACGGCGAAGAAGTGTCGGCTGGCAGCGCATTCATTAAGCAGTTGCGCGGAGTAAACGAAGACATCACCTAGTAGGTGTCCACGGTGTCCAAGTGAATATAACATTTTAGAAGATACTTAATATTTTCTTTTTTATCTATTTTGATGACAAGTATTTTTGGATGGAAGAAATATATTTTTAGGAATCATTATAACCATACTATAACAGAATACAATGGCCCTAAAAAACATAAAACAATGCAGATACAGGAGTGACCTACTCCTTACCATGATGTCGGAAAGGGCCAATGCAGGAACATAATACGGGAATAGACTATGCGACTAAAACATCATTTAGCATTCCTAAATGCTAAAAAGCAAGTGGATACTGGTTGTCACGTTCCAGCACACACCTTTTATCACCGCCCGATCTCGTCGGCCCGTGCGCGATCGAGCTCAGGTTTTCCCTGGTCGGGGCGGACGGTTCGGCCTCCCCGCGACAAGTATTCACCTGGGAGGGCCCACCACTACCCACACGTCCTGTCCGTTGGCGTCGTGTTCGAAACTGCCCAGAGCCACCGCCCCAATCCCCCCAATCCGCCCCCAATCCTCTTCCCATTCTCTCCCTCCCTCCTCGACGCCATTTCTCTCCCCCTGTTCTTCGCGAGTTCAACCGTGGCCCCCAAGCCCCCGACAGCTGCCAGAGAGCGGAGGGCGTGCGCGGCGGCGGTGTTTGAGCGGCAGAGCTACGCGAGTGTGCATAGGTGCGCGCGGCCCCCGCAGAATAAGGCGGAACGGGTTCAATCTCGTCGCGTCCATGGCAAAAGGGGTGCGCGGTGAAGGTCGCCGACGGCGCTGCGTGTCCGGTGGCCTAGTATTCTGGAATCCTGAGGTATGCACAAATCGCCACCGTTCTCTCTGCTTTCTGCGTGTCCTCGATGTTGCGGAGGGTTGGGATTTGGTTGGGCTTCATGCGAGGAGGGAGGTGGATGTAATCACGCTCCCATAGATCGTAGTGGTTTTGCTTCACGTTTCATGGCAGGGACGAATCGTGGAGCCTCGTGGTGGGGAACCATGGGGTCATGCCGTGAGGGATTGGCGGTGTGCTGTCTGGTCTGAGATGGGCATTTGCTTTGGCAGATGTTTGTGAACTTTGTTTAGGATTTTTTGAGGAGTTGCTTCGATTTTTTGTAGGAGTTGCCTGATTGAGGCTATATGAGTTGGCGAAATTAGAGTTGTTTGAAGATTCAGACTGCACTGCAGGGTTTTGTTGAAGACCTTGATGGCTTGATGCTTTCACCTGTCAATTTGTAGTGTCAATTATTCTCTCTGTATGTGAGCATTGCACATGACCATGATGCTTTCACCTTTGACTGATTTTGTGTAGGAGTTGCCTGATTGAGGCTATATGAGTTGGCGAAATTAGAGCTGTTTTGAACTACTAGTCATGGGGGCGTTCACCGAGTTGCTTTGATATTGTATACAAGTTGCCTGTTCAACGTTGATTAAGTTGCTAAAAAAATTTTAGAGCTGTCTGATCTACCTGTACTTGGGTTGTTCACCGAGTTGCTTCGACATTGTGCATGGGTTGCTTGATTGAGGCTACATGAGTTGCCAAAATGGTTGTAGCGATGTCCGATCTACTAGTACTAGTGTGTTCCTCGAGTTGCTCAGATTTCTTTTATCAAAGGAGTTTGCTTAGTTCAGATTTCATTGAATAATTAACTTGATAGTGTCGATAGCGGTCCCCATTTGCAAGACATATGCTAAAGTATCAGACTACAACAGACCACTTCACGGAATACTTGCTTTTGTTTAGCCTTGTGTTTGGCACCACACATGGTGCTTCCTGAACCGTGTCTTCCCGTTATACTCATGATAACAATTTGTAATGGTGTTTGACAAGTGTCTTTGTTTCTTTGTTTTCTGCATGTATCTCTTATGAACATCCATTATTCTGTTGTATTTTTCCATCACAATTTTCTAAACTGCAAAATTGCCAATTGGACCTACAAAAGTATGAACATCATGTATAAGAGGATTAAAAGCTTTTAAGATGCCCAGACTTTCTTAATCTGTAAGATGCCTGATCAATGTTGGTGTAATTTGCTGAAACTTACAAATTGTTGGGGCAGCATTCGAAATAGAATTTGTTGGACTTGTTTTTCTAGATTTTTGTCTGGCCCATTTTTTTTCTAGGATGCTAGAGGTTATTTTTCTCAGTAACTTGCCAGAAATCAGCATACAAGCTGTGCGTTAGTCTGAACCAAAGTTGCCTAATCAGTAGCTGTGTAATTTATAGAGTTTCCTTATCAAGTTTGTGTTGCTTTAATGATTCATCAGCGAGTTCTAGGAAATGTCTTTTTTCATGTTTTGTAAGAAACCTACAGTGTTACAAGTAGTGAAGTCCATTTTTCGTTAGCAACCTGAAAATACTGTATTATGTGTTTGCAGTGTCGAAAATGTCTGAGGCAAGGAACGAAAGTGATGGTCAAGATTTACAAGCAAACCAAGAGGGTGTACGAGGAACAGAGGTAAGAGCTTTGAGCGTGGCACGGTGGAGCGTCTGTGCTGTTTGCCATGTTCGAGTTTCGTGACTTTTTTCAATGCGAAACAGATGAACACATTTTTCCCCAATGCAGGCACACTCATTACAGCAACATGATCCAACTATGATTGGCTACAAGCGTAGGCGCACTAAAGGAATAATTTGTCGTGGGAATCGCCCGTCAGACATAGATAGCAATGCAAGTGCACAAGATGATGATTCAGAAGGCACAGATGTCACTCAGGAGGATGAATCAAAGCCAAAATGCTGAAAAACATGCGGAAATGAGGTATCCATGCATCATGAATCGTAGTTTTCAGGTTCCATTTTTTTTCAAGGCTGTATTGATTTTGTGCACTCTTTTTAGAAGTTGCGTGATGAATGCGTTATTTTTAGTAATTCTAAGTATGGTTTTTGGTTGTTAAATCGTGCGTAAGCAAGGCCACTAGCAGTATTGAGCATGTTGAAGTTATAAGAACAAATGATGATATTCTGTATAGGACAAACATCGCATCATCATGGAAAACAATTTTGATACTTGCTAATTTCTGTCACACAGAGTTTAACTTAGCCCATTTTTTCTTGCTTGTAGGGTCGCGGGAACAGCGCATCACCAGCAAGGTTGTTCAAAGTAAACAAAGATTTAGTGCAATTTCAGAAGGATGCGGTAATTTGAATAGAGTTTGGGAGGTCTGTTACAGATTGCAACATGTAGCATGCCAGGAGACTTAAGTCAGTGGGTTATGAAGCATTACGACCCTGAAATTTCCCAACTGGTCAACCCAGAGAGGGGCAAGATTCCAGTAGATGCAACAAGTGTTCACAGGATTTGGGGTCTGCCAAACAAGGGGAGGAAGGTTTGCTATGAGAAGAGAGCAGATTACACATCCCAAATGAACACAATCTTCAATATTAACACCAAAGGCTCACCAACACTAACAGCTTGGTGCAAAATGATTAAGGATATGGCTGGGGTAGCAGATAACAATTTCCTACGTGCTTGGTTGGCGGTCGCCTTCTCCTGTTTCCTTGCTCCTACCACAAGTTTGAACATATCCCCACGGTGTTTTCCTGTTGTGATGCATGTGGATGCGATAACGGAGACCAATGTGTGCCAATTTGTAGTTGATCAAATTAAATTGGCATTCATGGGAGCAGGTGATAAAAATGCAGTCTGTTGTTGCGTCATGCATTTAGTTGTACGTCTAACTTGCTCTTTGTCCCTTTTTCATAGTTTCTCATCTAGTTTCTCTAGTTGTTTATTGGACTCATTTTTCTTTTTCTTTTTTGTTTTTTGCCTCGTGCAGCTCCTATATCTGGACTCATTGGATGTGGACGAACCCATCGCAAGCACGGGTCCAAGAGTGTCGGTTTGGAATTCTGATCTTATTTCCAAGGTCATTAAGAAGGACAAAAATGGCCGAGGGGAGTTTGGCAAGTTGTGGGTAAGTTTCCTCTTATTTTCGTGAAGCACATGATCAGTCAGTCACTTTAGTTTTTCTTCATATGTTCAACCGCCATTTGTTTTGAGGTCATATAGATGTCATGCAACTTGCCCAGTAACTGCTAGGCAACACACTGTCCATACGTAGGCAATCACATTTTTGTTCCTGACTAACTCGGTACATGTGTGTTATTCTTTTAGGAAAAACATGTGTTTATGTTCCAATTATAGGCAATACAGACACATACTTCAGGCAACTACAGATTTTTAAGTTGTTAAACCAATCAAAGGCAATACAGACATATACCATAGGCAACCACACATTTAATGCTTGGCAACTCACAAACAGATGTGAAATATAAAGTTTTTTCCATGAAGTTATAGAAATAGAAAAAGTTGCGAACACTCCAGTTTTTTCTTTTTAACTTTTTTTTGTTTGCATTTTTCTAACACTTAAAACTACAGCTCAAGACCGAGTTTGCTCGCTTTGCTGATGAAAGCTTATTCGGTAGTATGGATCATGTCACAAAGTTCATGGCAGCAAGGCTCCCCAACTCATACGACTCAAATGTGAGTTACCTTCTTCATTTTTTTGGTTTTTGCTTTTTTTGTGTGCGCCCACTTCTTTGAATTATTTCTTTTCAACTA